GCAGCCTTGCCGCACCTGCCGGCCGGGACAAAGGCGCGCCACGGCCCGGAAACTCCTCGCTCTCTCTTTCCCGCCCCTGCGGCTGGCCGAGCACTCGTCGCGGGCAGCTTCAAAGCTGTCAACGTTTCCCTTAGTCCCCGTACCAGTGACAGGTCCGGAAAGTCTTTCATTTCTTCCGCAGGTCAGGGCCTCCTTTTTTTTGTTGTTTCTTGACGGTTCGGACGCAAACTCAACTAGTGAAAAAATTTTTTTAAATTTTCTTTCTTTCTTTTTTTTTTTTTTACATTTTCTAGATGACTGTGTTCAGACCGAATGTTTTTATCAATGGGACTTGTATTTATAGTAAAGGCTAGATATTTAAGTATCTCATGTTTCTGCAGCACCACGAAAAAAAATCGAGGTTTTAAAACTGCGTTTCCTGGTTTTTAATAATTTTCCACCTCTTAAGATTTTTTTTACTGAAAGAAATGTAGTTTTGTGATAGAGCAGATATTGGTGATTTAAATAAGATTGGCAAAATGTAGAAGAAATACTGAAAACCAAATGGCAAATATACAGTATAGCAGATATAGAAATTATTACTATGGTTATAGAACATATGTTGGAATAAAACATTCTTACTAACTTATATTCCAAAAAACTAGGGCTCCTCAAAAGTGATTTTGAAGTGATGTTTTTCCATTAAGAGTAGTATGATTTTGCTTTATTATTTGTTAACAGATGTCGGTACTTTAAGATTCAAAAGAAGATAGGAAAGTATCTTTTGAAGAAGTATTTCCAATTTAAAACAGTAACCAATGTGTGGATAAATTGAAGGGCCTTTATCGCTTTCTTTGGCTTTGGGTGTACCTCAAATATTAATATTCTACCCAAAAACCCCAAGATTAGTGTATTTTGGTATATATATGATAGGCTATTATCAAGCCATCTAACATGTGGAAGAATGTTGACTTGGAAGAATCCTAAGTTAAAATACAAGGTGCAAAATAATACATATGATTTAACACTTTTGTTTAAAAAAATAAGCAACTAAGGTATAGAATAAATACAAAAAGCTGTGAATGCCAATGTTAAGGGTGTTTTTTTCCCTAGAAAGAAGGATTATGGTTTTTTTCTCCTTCAAATCATCCTGTTTTCCAAGATTCTTGTTCTAACCATGTATTACAGTATTGAGTATCACGAGAAATAGAGGAGAGTACGAAAAGTTTATAAACTGTCAGCATATACCATGTGGGTATAATGAGTCAGTATTTTCCCAGTTGCACATTTTAAAAATTATTCATTAGTGTGCACTGTAATTTATTGATTGTCAGACTTTTGGACATGTGACTGTAATCAGTGCCATTTTAAAAACCTGTATTTTATTAGCTCCAGAATCTATTTCCTCTTCATGGCAAAAGAATTGCTAAAGGCATGCTCACAGTCCTTTTAAACCACACAGACTTTTTTTAATGTCCCACTTAATGTGTACTTTTAATGTGTTTATTAAAAAGATAAATTGATCACTCATACCAGATACTATTCTTTTTTTTTTTTTTTTTAAGATTTTTATTTATTTGTCAGAGAGAGAGAGAGCACAAGCAGGGGGAGCAGCAGAGGGAGAGGGAAAAGCAGGCTCCTCACTGAGCAAGGAGCCCGATGTGGGACTCGATCCCAGGACCCTGGGATCATGACCTGAGCCGAAGGCAGACACTTAACAACTGAGCCACCCAGGCGTCCCTACCAGATACTATTCTATAAGCTAGAGCTACAAAAATGAATAAAGTGCTATTCCTG